AACAGCCTGAGTGATGGTCGCAGGGAAGTTCCAATCTCTCGAGTCCCTCACCATTTCAATAAAATATATGGGCTTATATCATGAATATTATTTTTGTGTTGAAAATATTTCTAATAATTGTTTCAATTATAGTATAAATAATACTATGATTATAATAAATATAGAATCTAAGTTTAACTAAACACAGGTCACATTGTTTGGACAATTTACGATCGTTCACCACAGGATGGGTTGTATATTTGAATTCCACACGAGTTTCTCGTTTCATGTATTTGTATAATTTATTGGTGGTAGATTTCAACCACACGAGTTTCTCGTGGCCAGCGTTCGATTTTAGTCGGAAGGACTGACCCATTGGAGCCCATGGAGAGGGTTGTGGTGTTAGGGTTTAGTGCCTCCAAGCTCTGGGGTCCTCGATCGTCTCTCCTACGCCATGGCGCTGTGGTACTCCGGAGCCGCCGCACTTGCCCGCGCATTGGACGATGGCAATCCGCTGCGATTCCAGGCAAGTTCACGATTATCCGCAATGCATCGGTCACAAGCGTCAGAGAAGCGGCAAATCTGCAAGAAGCGTCGCCGGAGGCGGCATTCGTGCTGCTAGATGTTGAAGGAATGATGTGTGGCGGCTGTGTTGCGCGCGTCCGGGGCCAGCTGATGCAGGATTATCGAGTGGAGTCCGCGGCCGTGAATTTGCTCACGGAGACGGCAGCGGTGAAATTGCGGCCGGGTTGTGGGAAGGAGGTTGGATCAGAGCTGGCGGATCTTCTGACGGGTTCTGGATTTCCTGCGAGCCTGAGGTCCGGGAAGGGGCAAGATGATAATGCAGGCAGAAAAATCGAAGAACTCTCGAAGAAGAGGAAGGAAAGCTTGAGGAAGAGTACACAGAAGGTGGCATTTGCTTGGACATTGGTGGCTCTTTGCTGCGGAACTCATGCCACTCATCTTCTCCACTTCTATCCATTTATCCACGATTTTATGCACAGTACGTTGTTTTTCCTTCTCTTTCTCACGTTGCAATGACTGAAGTTGTGTTTTTGTGGTAGGCCCTGTGATGGAAGTCGCTCATGATCCAGTGTTTAAATGTGTTGTGGCATTGACAACCTTGCTGGGACCAGCCCGAGGTAATCTTTGCTCCCCATTTTTAGTATTTACATTGTTTTCGGATGCTGCTTATCAGATTTGGTCGTGGATGGTGGCAAAGCCTTTCTGAAAAGGGCCCCAAACATGAATACCTTGGTAGGATTTGGTGCATGGGCTGCATTCTCAATAAGCGCGGTACAAGAAACAAAATATGCGGTTATTAGTACTAATTTATCGTGATACATTGCAGATGTCTCTAACAATTCCCGAGCTGAACTGGGGTGCACCTTTCTTCGATGAACCGGTGAGCTTATAGATCAGTCCGTAAACGAAGTTAAATTCTGGTACTCAGGTAATGCTACTTGGGTTCGTTTTGCTGGGACGTTCTTTGGAGGAACGTGCACGCATTCAGGCATCCAGCGATATGCAGAGACTCCTGGTAAGAATTCTGGGTGTCGACCTCTTATTCAAGTCATAATATTTTTCGTTTGTGTAGTCTTTGATCCCCGCGAAATCAAGACTACAAGTTTCTGAACAGGCCAATGACGAGAATTTGACAGTGGACGTTGCGACCGAACAAGTTCGTGCAGGAGATCGAGTGCTTGTATTACCAGGAGAAGTGATTCCTATTGATGTATGTTTCTGTGGTCACTGTTTTTGCCACTGACTTATTCTCCTCGTTGAGCGCATGCAGGGAACAGTTGTGATCGGAAGGAGTTCCGTCGACGAATCCACAGTTACGGGCGAACCTATGCTAATGACTAAAACAGTCGGAGACACCGTCTCGGCTGGAACAGTAAATTGGGTAAACCAAAATTTGCTACTGGTTTTTATGTTTTTTCAAACAGTTTTATAGGATGGACCAATACAAGTAACTGCTACATGCACTGGGGCTTCGTCCTCCATTTCTAGCATAATAAAAATGGTGGAAGAAGCACAAGGTCGAGAAGCTCCTGTTCAAAGACTTGCCGATACTATTGCCGGACCTTTTGCGTTTGCGATTATGGCTTTGTCTGCATCAACCTTTTCCTTCTGGTATGATATCATAAACGCCATTATTTGATCCAATTTTGTTATATGCTTACAGGTATTTTCTGGGAACGCATATTTTTCCGGATGTATTACTGAATGATGCTGCCGGTCCCGAGGGAAATTCCTTGCTTTTAAGTCTGAAACTTGCAATAGATGTTTTGGTAAGCATTTGCGTTATACGAGGAAGTAACCAAGGATTGATAAATATGCAGGTTGTAGCATGTCCTTGTGCTCTTGGTTTGGCTACTCCAACAGCTGTGCTTGTGGGAACATCTCTAGGTACTTAAGCCGTAGCTTCTTTACTTCGTGGCCTTATCACACAATACAGGAGCAAAGCAAGGACTCTTGCTGCGTGGTGGAGACGTTTTGGAACGTCTGCAATCTGTAAATGCCGTCGTTTTTGATAAGGTGCACTTTCGTTGGAAGAAATATATCACTGTTTTTTTTCAGCGCAGACGGGAACTCTTACGCAGGGCCATCCCAATGTATCAACAGTGACGTCTGGAAGCAATGATTTTGACAAAGATCGAATACTTCAACTGGCTGCTACTGTGGAACAACACTCAGTTCATCCGATTGCATCAGCTATAGTTGAGCAAGCAAACACACAAAAGCTGGAGATGCTAGTGTCGGAAGGACAGCTGACGGAGCCCGGCTATGGAGCACTAGCAAGAATCGATGGAAAGGTCGTGGCCGTTGGTCAGCCTCGCTGGGTGCAAGAATGCTGCCTTAAGCTCGACAGCATGGAAAGCACCGACGAGGTTGAGAGGAAGCTGGGAAATCTCCTGGCCGACAGACAGAGCATGGAGCAGTCTTCGACCACGGTTTACGTTGGGGTCGAAGGAGTTGGAATCGTTGGAGCGATAGCTCTCAGCGATACTCTCCGTGCCGATGCGAAAGTCACAGTTTCCAGGTACTCCGATAATGTTTTACGTGATCTCTTTAATCTGACTTGAAGCGTCTGACAGGTTACGAGACATGAAAATTCGAACTTTGATTCTCTCCGGCGACAGGAAAGAGGCAGTGGCAAGTATAGGAAGGACTCTTGGCATCGAAGGCGATTCTTTGTTTGCGCAGCTCCGACCTTCAGATAAGTCCAAGTTCATTGCGAAGCTACGAGATGGAGGCTCCATAGTCGCGATGGTACGTTACAAGAGAATTATTTCGTTTTCTTTTTCGCTAACGCAAAACAAACACAGATCGGAGATGGCGTTAATGATGCGCCTGCTCTAGCCAGCGCGGACGTTGGCATCGCCTTGAAACTCCAGAACAAGATCGACGCCGCCTCGGATGCAGCCTCTGTCATATTGCTCGGCAATCGCTTGTCGCAAGTAAGTATTCTTCAGTGTGAAGACTCCACTCCTGACTTGGTGATCTATCAAGGTCCTGGACGCTTTAAGCTTGAGCAAGGCGACCATGAGCAAAGTGTACCAAAATCTAGGATGTGCTCTTGCGTATAATCTTATCGCAGTGCCTGTCGCCGCTGGAGTCTTGCTTCCCGGATATGACTTTGCACTATCGCCGTCAGCAGCAGGTTTGTTGGCATTGAGATTTCCTTTGTGGCTGAGACGAACGATGCTGTTCTTCGCAGGTGGTATGATGGCACTGAGCTCGATCTTCGTGGTCTCGAACTCCTTGCTACTGCGGCTTCATCGCCCTCCTAAACATTGACTGTAGTAGTACCCGAGCGGATCACCACTGTACGTATGTGTATCTATAACTTCCTATATCTTGTGGATCTCTCCATTCCACTCGGGCGGATCCAACTTCACAGGGGCAGTGTTAGTGTCGCGAAGAAGTTCTTCAAATCTATTGCCACCACCACCAGCAGTGCTTCTAAACACTGCCTGGAGGAACGCGACTATGGCGCCGGCGGTGAAGATCCTCATGGGCTTCCGGGCCTTTCCATTCTTCCCGACGAGAGAGGTCAGCCCACCTTTCAATCCCGAGGTGGCGTCGTCGAGGAAATCGAAATGCCCGTGCTCCGGAGCCGAGAGGAGGAACGCTGGCGCGCAGCAGTCTCGAAAGAATGCCTGGGGGCCGACTCCTCGCGGCGCGCAAGCCGGGAAGAGGAAATTCTTCTTCTCGCCACCATAGCCCGCGGCGATGATCAATACGGGGCAATTCGGCTGGAGCGAATCCTTGCGGTATCTCAGCACTGGCGGATTCGTCTGGCTCGCGCTGGAAGTCCCATCGACCGGATCGAGCGCGATGAGAGCGGAGACGCGGCTCGGCAGTGAGCGCTTGGAGAATCCCAGGGCGAGAGAGAAGGCGACTTTACCCCCGCGGCTGTGGCCAGCGATGGCGAGCTTCGTTGCGTCGGCTCTCACTCCATCCGCCGGTAGAAATCTGTGAAGATTTCCCGGAATCCAGCTGATAATTGCCGCCGCGTCTTCTATCTCTGGACTGGCATCGGGCCCGGCAAAGCGATACATCTGATGAGAGAAGATTTTCGCGATAAGATTTCCAGAGCGATCGATCGTGTACCTGTGGCGCGACGACGATGAATCCGTGGGACGCAATGTGACGCATCAGCTGGCGGTAGAAGAGATTGCTGAGGCAGAAGCCATGGAAGAGGATCAGGACTGGAAAGCCGTCGGCTGGCGCCGGATTGGAAGGCGCTGCTACCAGCAATGGCTTCGGCGGCGGGCATTCTTCTCCTTTCTCCCCGATCGTCACGCTAAGAACCCTAGAGACGCCATCTTCGAACACATCCATTGTCTCTCTCTCCCTCTATCCCACTCTCCTCTCTCTCCTATATGGCGCTTTTGCCACGTTTCTATGACACGTAGATGTCCAGTCACGCACACGTGTAGGTGTGACAGGTGGCAGTCCGAGAAGAAAGCGCGTGAAATAGTTAAGGGCATTGGCGCGGAGTTGCTTCTCGCTACCGATTCTAGGGCAGGAACAGTAGAATTGAAGTGGTCTCTAGCTGGAATGCGGGCGAGATAGGCGCTGTCGATCGGCCAAAGATGGGATGCTTCCAGGTCCACCAGAGCGATGGCGAGAGGCGCAAGCGGAAGCGCCGGCGGATCCTCTGGTGGTCGTTTAGCTTCGTGTTTTCGAGGAATTCTGGCAGGTCGTCTTCGTCTGGCGGCTCCAGCGACTCCTCCGGGGAGCTCAACTGCCAAAGGCTCCAGGAACTAAGGCAGTTCACGCTGGCGGAGCTCAAGAGCGCCACCAGGAATTTCTCCGCTGCCGAGAAGCTGGGAGAAGGCGGGTTTGGATGTGTGTTTAGGGGCCATATCAAGTCCAAGAAGACGGACGAGAGGATCGACGTTGCTGTGAAGCAGCTCAACGTAAAGGGTCAACAGGTATGTCGTAGTTCCCTCTTTGTTTTGTTTGTGTTTCAGAAGATCTCTCTAAGTTTGCAAGAGGTTTTCGTTTTCACAGGGCCAGAAGGAATGGCTCAACGAAGTCACGTACTTGAGAATGGTTGATCATCCAAACTTGGTGAAGCTCCTTGGATATTGTCTCGAGCACGATGATAGAGGACCGCAGTGTCTTCTCGTGTACGAGCTCATGCCGAACAAGAGCCTGGATGACCATATATTCCAGAGCCGAAGACCCGTGATTCCATGGGGCCAGAGGCTACAAATTGCTCTAGGGACAGCGAGAGGCTTGGCCTACTTGCATGAAGAGATGAAACCGCCTGTAAGCTATGCTCCGAGTTTCATTGCATCCCCTCTTATTCGTGGCCGTTTCAGATTATTTACAGGGATCTAAAGTCCGCCAACATTCTTTTGGACAACGAGTTTAGACCGAAGCTTTCGGATTTCGGATTAGCTCGAGATGGGCCTGCAATGGGAAATACGCACGTTACGACCGCGGTATGCTGAAACGGTTCAAAGTTTTTCCAATTTAAAGCCCGTTTTTCGCAGGTGGTGGGGACTGCGGGCTATGCTGCTCCGGAGTATGTTCAGACCGGGCATATCAATGCCAAGAGTGATGTTTGGACTTTTGGGATGGTCCTTCTTGAGCTCTTGACAGGGCGAAGAGCCCTTGACATGAACAGACCCCGCAGCGAGAGAAGCCTGGCCGACTGGGTGAAACCATACTCCAGCGACAGCAAAAAGTTTCGAAAGATAATTGATCCTCGTCTCAAGACCAACTTTTCCTCGAGCGAAGCGAGGACTTTGCTGTGGGTCGCTCAGAAGTGCATCGCGAAAAATCCCAAGTTAAGGCCGAAAATGAGTGAGGTCGTCAAACAACTTGAGGGAATATTGGTAGTAACAGCGCCAGTCGAGAAGCCGGCTGAGGTTCCCGAAGGAGCGAAGAGCAGAAACCAGTCTATCGCATCAATGGCAGACATCATTGAGACGGATGCAAGTCGAACGGACCTTTCAGGGGAGTATAATTTGGCCGAGGTGGCAAGAATCTCTTCGGTTGGCACTAGCAAATCTATGGAAAGTGGTAGCGGATCAGGAGCACTTGATGGCTCGTCCAAAGAGGTTAGTGGAGTTCAGGAAGGCACAGAAATTTGTTCCAAGGAGAAAACGCAGAACGAAAATGCGGTATCTTTGGGTCGGGCTGATGGTGATTCGGCTACAGGATTTGATACTACTAACGCTGAAGTTCGCAGTCCGCCTAATCAGCCCGCAGTGGATCATGTTGCTGTCGTGGACGAGAGTGACACGAAAGAAAATCAGGAACCGGACAAAGAACGACGTGATCCAGAAACGGACATCTCAAGCGTTGAAGCTGCAAGCTCTGGAAAAGATGTAGCAGTGGATGACGTTAAAGTGGACGGCAGTGAGAAACACGAGGCTTTCAGATCGGTCGAAACGACGGTAGGCGAAGACGCTGATGTCGCCGTGGCGCCAAGATTGAAACTTGATAGCACCGAGGCTACCAGCGACGAGGATGTAACAGAATCCAACCAAGAAGATCGTCCGGTGGAGGAAACCGAGCACCATGTTCCAGAACACAATACTACAGATGCTAGCAAAAGCCGCCAGGAAGCACCTGAAGATAACCATGCTCCAGAACACAATACTGCAGAAGCTGAGGATAGTAAAAGCTGCCATGAGGAAGCAACAGAAGATAACCATGCTCCAGAACACAATACTGCAGAAGCTGAGGATAGTAGAGGCCGCCATGAGGAAGCAACAGAAGATAACCATGCTCCAGAACACAATACTACAGAAGCTGAGGATAGTAAAAGCCGCCATGAGGAAGCAACTGAAGATCGGCATGCCGAGGTGGATAAAAGTGACGACGATCTAAGTTCAACTCGGATTGCCGAAAACAATCCGATAGACGAGGCTTTAGGCGAGGTGCCCTCGCTACAGGTACGGCGTATATATTGAGCTGTCGAAAGCTTTTTACAAGCTGTCATTGGCAGGAGTCCCAACAGCGACAGAGCTGAGTTCTTCCAGCATCGCCAGTAAATTTCTATCAGCGTCCTCGACGGCCTTGGCAGTGGCAGCCTTCAGCTGCTCCACTTTCGTCCTTATCTCCTCTGCTCGACGTGACTTCCCGTCCATGACGAGCTTAATCACTCGTGCAATCTCCTCCCGGGGTACCGAGTCAGTGTTCTTCACCGGAAGCTCGGCACCAATCTTCCACTCGTCAACCATGAGCCTGCAGTTGGTGTTCTGCTCCCCGGCCCAAGGCCACCCCAGCATCGGGACTCCGCCCGAGATGCTCTCCAGCATCGAGTTCCAGCCGCAGTGAGTCAGGAATCCGCCGGTGGAAGGGTGCTTGAGAACTTGAAGCTGCGGTGCCCAGGATATCACTCGTCCGCGATCGCCAACACTCCGGCAAAAGGCGGTGAAAGACTCGTCGTCCAGGCCGCCTATGACGAGCTGGGGCCTCACCACCCAGAGGAAAGGAACGTCGCGGCAACTGTCGAGAGCTCCCGCGAGCTCCCAGAACTGCGCCTGGGTGAGAACCGCGATGCTGCCGAAGGAGATGTAGAGGACCGAGCTCTTGGGCTTGGTGCTCAGCCAAGAGAGGCAGTCGGCGTCCTCGGCCCGGAGCGCGGTATCGGTGTTACTCTCACTAGTTCTGGTTTTAGCGTCTCCGGAGGAAGAGAGAGGACCGACTGGCAAAAACTTCTCACCGAGTTGTGCTCTCATGAAATCGAAGGGTTGCCTTTCCAGCGGGTAGAACGAGTTTACGAGCACCCAGGCCGCTTTACGTATGCTCGGGCTCCTCGTTTGCGCGCGTTCGATCCAGAGCTCGTCTGTGTGCTTCTGAAGATACGCTGGAAGGTCGCTCTTGAGAATCGGAGGGAGGCCGCCAATGTAATCGATCAAGCAGTCCGACTGATCTAGAGCGCGGAAAAAGAAAAGAGAGAGCTTTCTCAAGAGAGCAAGCGAGCTTGCATACCTTGTGCAAAAACGTGCTTTCTCGCGGAAAGCTCCGGGATATGGAACTCGATGCTGGCCCAGGAAGCGTTGCCCGACAAAAACGCGACGCGGGGGACGCCGAGCTCGTCCGCGACGTGCTGCGTCGCCGGGAGGAAGTAGTCGGAGAGAATGCAGCGCACGGGGGTGGCTTGGATGGCCGCCAGCGACTTGAGAAGGCGGGGGAGGAGCTTCTCGAGGGTGTCCGCGAAGAGGCCGTTGTTGGCCGCGCAGTAGGCGTCGTAGCCGCTGGGGATGTTCCAGGGGAAGGGGACGGAGGCGAGGCGGATGTGGAGGCCGTGGTCGGGGGCGGACCAGCGCAGCGCCATCTGCTCGTGGATGCTGTCGACGTTGACGAAGGTGATGGCAACTTGGCGGGGGCGGCAAGCGGCGATCCTCTTGCAGAGGTGCATCAGCGCGGAGATGTGGCTCTGCGCTGGGAATGGCACCGCCAGGATGTGGAGGAGCTGCTCGCCTTCCATTGAGATCGCCGCGGCGAGAGAGAGAGAGTTCTAGAACACGAGAGAGCAAACGAACGTTTTGGACTCCACACTCCACGCAAAGTATTTTCTTCTTTTGATGAATGTGGTGATAGGCACGGAAAGGAAAAAATGACGCGAGAGTTTGTCGTCTTTGTCTCGAAATCGAGGACACATATAGATCTCTTACCGACACGGATTTGCTGTGAACAGAAAGAGATCAAATCAGGTTAGCGCAATGGAGGAATCACCCTTAAACCTCAGGAGCCCTAAACCCGCGACTGCCAAGTGGCGGAATCCAGGCGCTCGTATTATTAGGGCTTTGGCTTTTTCGTTCTTTTCTCCTACGTGAGTGAGGGGTCAATTTGGAGCGGAATCTTGCGATCGATCGCGCGCGCTAGGGTTTTCTGGGCACGGATTTCGCGATGAATGGGCCAGCTGCCGATGGATTGAGCGAGCGGGGGAGGCGGACCATCCCGGCGCCGACGAATCCCATGGTTACTCCTCTCTTGACTGATATGTATCAGCTGACAATGGCCTATGCCTATTGGAAAGCGGGCAAGCACCTCGATGTGGCAGTGTAAGTGTTCTCCTCCAAATTTTCCTCTTTCCCTTTGGAGTAACATGACATAATAGGCCAGGTTTGATTTGTTCCACCGCAAGACTCCCTTTGGCGGTGAATTCACCGTGTTTGCGGGCCTCGACGAGTGCATTCGATTCGTCTCGTCGTTTAAGTTCCAGGACTACCACATTGATTATCTTCGCAGCGTCATGCCTTCCAACGCTGAGGTATGCCTTGTTCTTTATGGAAACAAATAGCACAAACCAGAAATTCAGGAGGAGTTTTTCGAGTGTTTGAAGAAGCTGGACTGCTCCGACGTAGTAATTCACGCGATACCCGAAGGCTCGGTCGTGTTTCCTCGAGTCCCGCTTATGAGAATCGAAGGTCCGTTGTGGGTAAGTCAATGTCGCCAGCTTTTTCTCTTTCTTCTCTGAGAAATAAGAGAGGTTTTTCCATGACCAGGTGGCTCAAATGCTAGAGACAACATTTCTCACTCTCGTGAACTATGCTTCGTTAGTGGCGACCAATGCTGCAAGGCATAGATTAGTGTCTGGAAGCTCAAAGATGCTCCTTGAATTTGGTCTGCGGCGTGCTCAAGTAAGGAAAGCCGTCAGTTTCATATGAACAAGTGGCTCAAAAACTCGCAGGGGCCGGACGGAGGCATAAGCGCTTCAAAATACTGTTATCTGGGTGGTTTTGATGCGACAAGGTTCACTCTTTTTGGTTTTCCTTTTGTAACTCTTACAAGTGGACGGTGTCTTGCAGCAATCTCGAGGCTGGGCGACTTTTTAACATACCAGTTCGTGGAACTCATTCGCATGCTTTCGTGAGCTCTTATATGGTCAGTGAGTTTTACTGTTGTGTAGAAACCCCTTCACTGATTTGTTTTGTGCAGAGTTTGGACGAGATTGTAGGCAGGAGCCTCGTCTTTGCAGATAAAAAGAAAGTATGCGAGGATTTTGTTGGCATGGTACAACACTCGCTCAGCAAACTACAGGTACATGTATTGGCTTTTGTGGTTGGTGGTGATGTGGTTGTCTGTAGGGGATTGAAGCTCTTAGAGCAGTTTTTTCGGAAACAAATCAGAGCGAGCTTGCAGCATTCTCATCATATGCACTGGCATTTCCCACGGAGTTTTTGGCCCTCGTAGATACGTATGATGTAAGTGGAGCCTACCTTTGTTCTCGTTATCTTTACATCGCAAGTGTAGGTGATGAGAAGTGGTATTCCAAACTTCTGTGCGGTGGCAGTGGCTCTTCATAATCTTGGGTACTGTCTCTTGTTATCGTGTCTGTTCTTTTTCTTGATTCTCTTTTCTTTTCTTTTTCTTTTTGTAATTTTTAAAGCTATAAGCCGCGTGGTATCCGCTTAGATTCTGGTGACTTGTCGTACTTCTCTATCCAGGCAAGAAAGTTTTTTTGCACTGTTGAGAACGAACTTGGTGTCCCAAGCTTCGGGAAGATGACAATTATTGCAAGCAATGACATAAACGAAGACACTTTGGACGCTTTAAATAAGCAGGTTTGCCACTTCCCTCGTCATTTTCTCTCCTTTGAACTGAAACTGTACGCAGGGACATGAAATCGATGCGTTTGGCATTGGAACTCATTTAGTAACATGTTACATGCAACCAGCGTTGGGGTGTGTCTACAAGCTTGTTGAAGTGAATTCCCATCCTCGCATCAAGATCTCTGAAGACGTAAGCAAGGTAACAATACCATGCAAGAAGCAGTGCTACAGGATTTATGGCAAAGAAGGCTACGCTCTGGTGGACTTGATGACCGGCGAAAGCGAAGCGCCTCCCAAGGTATTATAGCTCTGTTTTTCTTACTGTTTGGTTTCTCACAGAGCTCTGTAGATGGGTGAGCGTATACTCTGCCGGCATCCCTTCAATGAGTCGAAGAGGGCTTATGTAAATCCACAACGAGTAGAATCGTTGTATAAGTGCTATTGGGCCGGAAATTCAGGTAACTCGTTCGCAGTAGACTCGATATGTTTAAGTCCGTGTTTCCTTTCCAGGACTAACACAGGAGCCATTACCATCGTTGGAAGAGTCAAGGCAGCGGTGCCAAAAGCAGCTGGCTGCAATGCGTCCTGACCACATGCGTGGTCTCAATCCCACGCCTTATAAGGTACTTCTTTGCCTTCTATACTTGTAGCACTGCTAAACTCTATGATTTATTGTTTAGGTGAGTGTGAGTGGAAAGCTGTATGATTTTATTCATTTTCTTTGGTTGAATGAGGCCCCTGTGGGGGAGTTACTGTAGAGGAAAATATCATTATTCAGTCTAACTTGAAATAATTTGTAGTCCAATTACAATGTAGTGTAAGATTATGTATATTACATGAGCACCGGAGGCTTGATTGAGGCCACAATCCATCCTCTATTGTCTCACAACAATAGAGACAATTTCATATTGTCTCACTCTCACTTTTAACATCTTGGTTTGCTTAGAGAATATACTTAGATTATCTAAGTATACTCTAGCATATTCTTTAATCTAACGGTTGTGATCTTTTTGCTATTAACCATTGTTTATGTTTAAATTCTTTGTGTATATTTGAATCATGTTATAATCTAGCAAGTCAAGAGTGTTAGCATTAAACATGGAATAAAATGCAAAACCAATGGCACCATAATTAAATTTTTCTTTAGCAATGATATAGGAAGATATGTTAAACTTTCAAAAAATAACATTTGGTTCATATAAAAACATTTTAACTTTTGTTTTGGTACTTTATATGTTACTTAATACTTTCCCTTACTTCATTGCAAACTTATAATTTATAAAGTAGTTAGTGTGTTTGAGATTATATTTTATATAGGCTTAAACTGTTTTTCATTCTTTAGAAGTGTGTATAAAGATTTTATTTTGCAAGTGAGAATCTAAAATAATGAAAAAAAAGCCTATTTCTGGAATTTTAAATCTAAATTTAAAAACTTGCTCAACCATATGATACAACTATAGATCGTAGTATGTGGTAACAGACTGAGCAATAAAAGATAAACTCAAATCTATATCAATCAATATAGAAAGAATAAAAAAAAAACCTCATGTTATAAAAATAAACTTGAAAAGTAAATATTAGATGAACTAGTGTCAAATGAACCCCTTAATAGTACTCCTAAACAAAAGATGGAATGGTCAATGATTTATTCAAACAAGGACCTTTCATTATTTGTGTGATTCTTCATTTCCTAGAAGAATCTTTGTGTCAATTGCAATAACAACAATAAGTCATTGTTAACGCAAAAACTACCACCTAGGAAACGAAGGATGCCAATCTAGAAATATCAAAAACACTGATATATGTGGCTAACTTCATCACATGCCCAACACCAAATATTATAGCCACAACCATGTCCTCATCTTAGCCTTTAAACACAGGTAGTAGCAATTCTATTGAAATATGTCTATCTCCCACTAATAGTGGAGTTGAAGTACATGTAATAACAAGTGAAATAGGTGATGTTTCATAACATTGTAAGTTGAAGAATGTTTTCAAGGGTGGCAAAAAAAAGTGCATGCATTAGCCCCACAAAATCTTGATGATGTGTTTTCCATAACATTCTTAAATTGGTATAAATGAATTTATAGTATAATTTTTCTTTGTCAATTTATTAGTTTACCTTGTTTATTTGAAACCTTTGCCTTGCCCTTAGTTAAATTCCCTTGCTAAGGTTTTCGCCTATTGTATCAGCTATTACTTCATCTTACTTAGATTTAATCTTGGATTCAATTACTCACTGCACAAAGTGTTAACCCTCTATTTACGGATTCTAAACTCTCTCTCAATCCCCTCCCCCCCAGTTAAACTAAATTTAAAGTTTGGCTACACTTCTTGCAGTCATAAGTAGCTAAATATATCAAACTTTTAGGTTCTTAACATACCTTGATATAACAAAACTTGATTATAAAACCTTTTAAATCCTAAGCCTTGGATGCATCTTATACTTCAAAACTCTAGGGGAAAACATTATAGCTTAATGGCTCGATATGGGTACTTCTACTTTCCCACCTTTATCCCAAAGGGAAAGCCTAAACTTTTAGGAATGAGCAAGGATTAATAAGTTATATGGTACTTAAATGAAACACCACTCCACTTAAGTTATAAGCATCATAATTAATTTCCCTTCCAAAAGTAAAAGTTATTTTTTAACACTTCTTTGAGAGGCATTTTTGGCACCCCTAGAATCCATATTCACTCACACCCAAGAACACTAAATCTTAGTCCTAACCTTAATTCAAATTGAAAGTATGATTAGAGTTCAAGACTAGGTCTTTAACCTCCCTATCATTATTACATTTTTGGAACCTTTTATCGTCTTCCACATGTACCTCTTGAACTTTATATTATCTTCCACATGTACCTCTTGAACTTTGTACCTTTGGAACCTTTTGTGGTCTTCCACATGAACCTCTTGTCATGTAATTAATGCCACCATCAATTAAGTTTAATTGTTTAACAACAACTACATAGCATCGAGCAAATACACTAATTACTACTTCAAAGTCAAAGGATGAGGAGGATGTTACTCCACCATGACAATGAATGAAAAAAAGAAAAAAATTGAAAAGACACAAGAAAATAGAGATCTACACAATATAAAAACTACATTCAAATTAAAACACAAGTTCAAGCAATTTTCAAGGACAATCAAAGCTGCCCCTTACATTCACCAATGTGAGTGCATGAAATATAAAAATGGAATATAAAATATGTATATTCAATTTTATATTCCATTTTATATGCAAAACCATAATTTATATGCAAAAGTGAGTGGTCCAAATTGAAATCAATCCAATAGCTATTAAAATCCTACTACATTAATATTAATATACACACACTTGGACCTCATAGTGTTAATTATTGAGCTTTATAAACTATTTTAAAAAAAACTAATTTGTATTAATTTCTTATTAGCTGTATATGCTCGCTACAATTTAAAATGTAAATTCAAAATTTATCTTCCCTCAGCTTCCTCTATAGTCATGCTAGTGTGCTCCCTTTGGAGGGCTCTATTAAGTGATAGTTATAAGAAGTGGTTTTGCTATTAAAATAGCCTCTTTAACAAAAGAAACTTTTAAATTTATCATATATCTTTATGAAAAGTTCATTTTTCTCACTTGAAATTGTGAACCAAACCAAGGCTATTGAAACAAATATTTGCTATTAAAAAGGATGGCATTAAAAAATCTAAAGAAGTATTCACATTTAAGTGTTTTTACTTCTTAGTGGTACCATAACTACTTTTATTAATATATGTTTGTTGTTGCTGCTAAGGCCTAGTTACAATACTTGGAAAGGGTGGCTGTTTAGAGGTGGGATTCTTTAATACTCCACTTACAGTGTGAGTGAGGCCTTTTAGTTTAAGGCCAATGTCTAGCTCAATAAGCATGTCATGTGGCTTAACACAACCCATCCTAAGATTTACTCAATGCTTGCATCCATCAACAGTTGGTACACCTCCTAACCAATGCCAGGGTCCATGTGCTTAATGTGCTAAGTGCCTAGTAAACAGCTTCTCATTAGCATAGAATTTCTTGTGTGACACCTAAATCTATAGTTAAGCAAACCTTTAAATCAGAATAAAAAGGACAAAGGTTCGTTTGGTAAACTATTTTTTAGATTTGATTTTAATTTTTATTTTAACAATATTTGATATTGTAAGATATTATACTTATAAAAGTTCATAATCTGTTTATACTAGTTTCAAAAATGAAGTTTAATATTTACACGAGTGCATTTTTTCTTTTCTATTTTATTATTAGAATTGTTTCTCACAACATTTCTGGAACCCTAACATTTGGTGATTCATTACTAGATGTTGGTATAAATAATTACTTAAATGCTACACCAACAAGCCATTGTAATAATCCTCCCTATGGTAGGATTTTTGATACTGGAAAGCCCAGTGGAAGATTTAGTGATGGAGAACTAATAAGTGACATAATTGGTAATCAAATCTAACTTTCTTTCTATTATTGATAGTCTATTTTTGTGAAGCAAAAATGTTGGGATTGCCATTTCCATTACCTTATTTAGATCCAACAGCTAATGGGGACAATTTGAAATTTGGCATAAGTTTTGCATCAGGAGGATCTGGACTATTAAATTCTACATCAGAGTTACAAAATGTTGCAAAAGTTAATCTTCAAATATCTTGGTTTAGAGAATATAAGGATAAGCTTAAAATAGTTTTGGGCACTGAACAAAAAGCAACCCAATTTCTTAATGATGCTCTTTATTTTATTGGAGAGGGATCAAATGATTATGCTTTCAAGTCATTAAATCTAGCAGAAAGTTTAACAAGCATAGAAGAGTTTAGAAATAAACTTATATCTAATTATAAAACTTATATAGAGGTAAGCATATAAATTTTACATTTAGATTCTAAAAGGTTCCTCTCAGGATATTTATTCAATTGGTGGGCGAAAGTTTGTAATCTATGGTTTAACACCCATTGGTTGTTCTCCTGGATTGATTACTGTTCATAATCCTTTAACAAGGAATTGTGTTGATTTCTTAAACAATCAAGCACAAGAATTTAATGCATATTTAGTCCAGCTATTGAACAATATCACCAAGGAACTACCTGGATCCCAATTCATATACCTTGATAAGTATGCTATTTTCATGGATATTATTCAAAATAAATTCAAATATGGTAAGATGTTACTTATTTAGATCTAAGTCTTTTATCTTTCTTCAGGATTTCAAGTAATAAACCGAGGTTGCTGTGGAACTGGACTTATAGAATTTGGCCAGCTTTGCAACCCACTTGTTGGTGCATGTGACGATGGTTCATTATATGTCTATTTTGATGCAGCCCATGGAAGCCTTGCAACATATAATATAACTGCAACAAAACTTAGAGCTCAGCTTGAATCTGAATTTGGAGTTATGTTTTAACTCAACGCTGTAAGTTTTTATTTTTAAGTATGCTGGTTGGATTCCTAGCATCTCCGTTTTTTTTTGTTTCTTTTTTCTTTTTTTATTGTGACTAAAATTGATGTATACAGTCGACCCATAATCAGTTTTTATTTTTGAGTTTAACTACCAAACGTGCGGTTTCTTTTCCACATCCCAATTCCTCCTGAGTAACACAAGCTCCTATATAAGTTGTCCAGGCAACCCGATCGGCCTCAAAAGGCATGTTTTCAATCAGATCCCGTGCCTCATCCAGTTTGCCAACCCTTCCATACAAATCAATCAAGCACATGTAATGGTCCACCAGGGCCTCGATATTGTGATCGCCAACCATGGAGACAAAATAACTACAACCATCATCCAAAAGCCCTGCATGGCTACAACCAAAGAGAATGCTGATGAAGCTGACTTGGTTGGGGAGCATCCCATCCAGGATCATCTCTTTAAACACATCCCCACCATCACAACCATGCCCTTGCTGGGCATATGCCACCACCATCGCTGTCCAGCAAACAATGTCCTTGTCGCGAATCTCGTCGAAAAGTCGCTTCGCATCTTGCAAATTTCCATACTTCCCGTACAAGTTGATGAGCGCGGTTCTCGTCACCAGATTCTGCGTGGCTCCGGTCGAGAGCATCCGATCGTGAATCGCCTTTCCCTGCGAGAGCCCGTTGCAGATCGAGCACGCTGTCAAGAGGTTCGCGAAGCTCGTCTGGTTGAGCTTGAGGCCCTCCAAGTCCATTTCGCGGTGGATCTCGAATGCTTCCTTGCTTCGACCGCATTGTAACAGCGCTGTGGCCATGGCGTTCCACAGGGCGATGTTGTGGCGAGCGCCTGGGATGGACTTGAGAACTTGGCGAGCATCGCAGCCTCGATCGCTCCGACCGTACATGCCAACCAGAGAAATGGCTGCCACCACGTCGAGCTTGGTTCCAGCCTCCATCATCCTCTTGTGTATCTTGATGCCCTCGCAAATACCACAAGCGTCCAGGATGGAGGCAAAGCTTGCGGCATCCGGTCGGATGCCCTCCAAGTCAAGCCCACGAAACAAAACCCACGCTCGCTGGAAATTCCCACTCTGGGCATAAGCTGCGATCATCGTGTTCCACGAAACCACATCGCGTTTCTCTAGCTGATCAAAAATGGTTTTTGCGTTGGAAACACTGCCACCTTTAGCGTGCATGCTGATCAAGCTATTGCCGAGAAACAAATCCGACTTTAAGAGCCCAGAAGCAGCGATCCTCTCGTTTAGAGCCAGCCTTTCCGATCGATGCAAGCTCGAGCAAGCCTCGATAAGAATAAGGTAAGTCACCCTGCTCGGGGGCGTGCCTTCCAGATTCATATACTTGAAAAGGTGGGCTGCCTCGTGGCTGTAACCATTGTGGGCATAGGCCGAGATCATCGAATTCCAAGCTATGGTGTCTCTCTTCTCTAAGGATTCAAACGCTTCCCAGGATTGTTTCACGCATCCACATTTTCCATACATGTTGACGATCGAGCTCTCCACGACACTGTCAGCCTCCATTCCAAAGGATAGCACGTATCTGCGATGAATCTTTTCACCCAGGATCGAGCTTTGGAGACGAGAGCAAGCATCCAAGAGTATGACAAATGTAACGCTGCTAATTTTCACACCCTCTAGATCCATTCTCCACAAGAGCTGGAGAGCTCTTTGCGGATGCCCGTTTTGGGCATATGCTGTCATGAGAGAGTTCCAGGAGACAGTATCCCTGAGAGAAAATCGGAAGAACACTGCCGTGGCCTCGTCCAATCTTCCCTTCTTTCCATACATGTTGACGAGGGTGTTGCCAATCACGGCGTTGGAATCCATCCCAGACGCAAGAATTCTGCCGTGGATCGCGATGCCCCTGGTGAGATCCCCAATCCTCGCGCAAATCGCCACGACCGAGCTGAGAACGAACGCATCCGGCTTCACACCCTCGAGCTCCATCTTCCAGAAGAGCTCCAGCGCCTGGACATCGCGATTCTCCTTGGCATAGGCGGAGATGATGAGCGTAAAGGAGAAGACATTGGGCTCCAGGATCTGATCGAAGACAGCGCGGGCATGATCGAGGCTGTGACACCGGCCATACATTTGGATGAGGAGATTGGCAACGAATGTGATCTTGTGGTGGCCACAGCGGACGATGTGAGCGTGGACACGCTGACCTTGGAGTAGCGAGTTGGAGCTGCCGCATTCCTTGAGGAGAAGCTCGTAGCTGCGAAATTCCACGCGCTGTTGCTGTTCAAGCCAGTCGATTGCGTGAGGCAGCCCATGATCCAGGCTTGGAACGAGTGTTTCTGTCATACCCTAAAGCACTCCCGCGCTATTTAAAATTTATCAAAAAAGACCAAAAGATATTGGAGGTGAGGGGCATCGATCCCCTTACCTATCGCATGCGAAGCGATCGCTCTACCATTTGAGCTACACCCCCTTTACAATAGGAAATATAATAATAACTTTAAAATCTAATTTACAATAGGAAATATAATAATAACTTTAAAATCTAATTTATTAATGATAATAGTAAATATATGAAATTATGCAAAGGTCCTACCGAGATTTGAACTCGGGCTACTGGATTCAGAGTCCAATGTCCTGACCACTAGACCATAGGACCAGTTGCATATTGTATTTAATCAATTAAGATAATCCAGCCAGCTAACAAAAATTTCAATTCTCGATGTTGGTAGGGCAATGTGGAAAATCTGGACCAGCAAGAAGTGGTGGGCTTGTTGTAGTTTTCTTACTACTACACAAAAAATGAAAGGGAAAAGAGTAAAAGACTGCTGCTCTAGGGCAAAGTCTTCTATCCTAGCACAATTCATCAAAATGATTGAAAGAATATAAAGCATTTGATAACTTTTGAAACAATTTTGAAGGACCAAACTAACATTAGCATTTATCCAAATTATAAATGCTCAACATAAAATTTCAGCAAATGGAGGCGAGGGGCATGCAAAGCGATTGCTCTACCATCTGAGCTACACCCCTTTTGAGATTATACTCACATAATAACAATTCCAAAAAAAAAGTATCAACTACATTTTCTTTCTTCAATCAATAAAATGGAAGTGAGGGGCGTCAATCCCCTTACGCCCCCTTCAGAGATTATACTCTAATACTTAGATGATATCAGCAATCTCATGCATCATCAAATGGAAGTGGCATTGATCACCTTATCGCATGCAAAGCGATTGCTCTACCATCCCTTTGTGGATAACCTCTCTCCTAATCCAATATAACAAGAAATTTGTTTCAATAAACATCTCAAAGGCGTATGCATTTAACAAAGAGGGTTTAGGGTTCTTGCGAGATGGCGAGGAGGAAGAAAAGGAAGCGGGCGAATGCAAGCGATCGACCAGAGGTAGCTCCTTCCATTGATGCCTTAAATGCGCGGGACGATCAGCAATCCAAGCAAATGGTCGTTTACGCCGACACGTCCGGCTTCCTTGGGCGCCAAGAAGAGGAAGCAAAAGAGGGTCAAGAAGTGAAAGAGGAAGAAGAGGTGTTGATGTTGGAGCTAAACCCAGTATCAGATCCAGTAGAAGAAGACGATGACGACGACGAAGAGGTGTTGATGTTGGAGCTAAACCCAGTATCAGATCCAGTAGAAGAAGACGATGACGACGACGACGACGACAAAGAAGAAGAAGAAGACGACGAAGAAGAACAACTTCCAGGCTCGAGCAAACGATCGCCCAGTCGCTCCAAGGCTCTGAAAAGGACGAGGACATACAAGACCGGCATCTATCCGTGCAGCATTTGCGAGCGAGTTTTCAAGTATAGTTGGCACCTCAAGAACCATCAGCTCGTCCACTCCGATGAGGTAACTTGCCACTTCGCCTCGGATCTGGTCTAAATCGTTGGTTGATTTCGCTAGAGACGCTTCCGGTGCCAGTTCCCTGGCTGCGATCGAACGTACAAGCGGAGGGGCGATGTCAACGTACACATGAAAAGGAGCCATCGGCTGTCTGTCCGCAAGAGAATCAAGTCGTCGTAGAAGTTCCAAGAGCTCCTGAAAGTTTATTACGAAGATCCACTATTCGTACGTACTTCTGTAGCTAGGATTGTTTTCGTGACGAAACTAGCGTTTCATTCAGCTTGTAGGGAGATTCTAGAGTGAGCGAGCACACCAGGGATGAGACTTCGTCACCTGCGAGGGGAAGCAGCTGTTGTAGTCTTTAGGGAAATCAAAACACTCTTCTTCTTACCTTCTTGACACTAGACTTTGTCAGCCTCCGGTGGTGTGGCATTTCGGTCGCTGAAATCTCCGTCCTGCGTCCACTTGCCATACTTCTCTCGCATCTTCCGGTTGAGCTCCGCGGCATGGCTGTCGTTGGCCTTGGCAGAGCGAGCCTCGGCCTCCTCCTGGACCTTGGCCAGCTCCTGGGCCCTGTGCGCGTTCTTGGACTCGAGATCCTCGTAGAAGTTCTCGTAGCTGCAGTGGTGGACGATGAAGGCCAGCACCAGGACCATCATCTGGACGCACAGCATGATCATGAAGAGGATGGCGTCGACCCGCATGAGAATTCTCGTGTTATCGACGCTCCGCTTGGACTTGAGGTGCTGCTCGACTAGCTCCTGCTTGATGAAAAGCGCCAGGGAGCCGGATCCAAGGCCGCCCATGGAGAGGCCCAGCGCCAGGAAGTGGTATGAGAAGCAGCTGTCGAAGGGGAAGCAGCCCAAGAGCCCCGAGAGGAAGGTGAGCGCGGCGACGAGGATGAATCCCCAGCCCGCCCACGTTGGACTCAGCCGGATGGCGACGATCGCCGCGACGGAGACGATGGCGCCGATCATGACGAAGTAATTGAGGAAGCGCAGGAACTTCCTGAGGCACACCGCCATGCTCCCCCGTCCAGGGCGGCGAGAGTTACCCCCGCCGTGGAGCTTATGTAGCTTGTGTTGGAAATCGAGCGTCATGGTATCTCTCAGCGGAAAAGAAAGGATTTTCCCGGTCTGCAAGAAGATTTCCATTAGTTCTCGAGAAGACGAAGCGGCAAAACGGGAGAAATCCGTGGCAAGGAGGAACATTTTGGAAATGCGGCAGTGCAGGGGACGATTTCCAAGAGAATCTCGAGATGTAAGGAAAGAGGACAAGCAAGAAGCGCCTAGATCCACCTAAATCAAGCGCGAGCGCATGCCATACCTCTAGATCTTGGAGCCAAATCCTTGACAAGAATTCTCCTTCGCAAGCGCTCTCCTCTCTCTGGACTAAGAGCCCTAAAAAGAAACGCTCTCTATCCTAGCCGTTGGAAGGGAGACGTTTAAACCATGGAGAATCATTTGAAATGTTAGGGTTTATGATACTCTGGTTCTAGGGCTTGTGGCTGGCGATGGAATCGCGCGGCGCCCTGGGGCAAATTCGTGGGCGGTAGGATCACCGGCCAAGATTCCAATGCGACGCTCGAAGAACTCATGGATTTGAGAAGCCATCTCTCTCTATTTCTTCTTTTTGGCTTTGGTCTTTTGCTGGACGGGCCGGCCTCCGCCCTTGGCGCCCTTGACGTTCCACTTCCCCGACTTGCGTTTCTTGGGAGGCTTGACGGCGTCGTCCTTGAAAGGCATTCCCAGCAGCGAGAGCAGCCGCTGCCCCTCCTTGTCCGAATTCGCGCTCGTGCAAATGGCGACGTCGAATCCGCGCTGCTGGTCGATGCTCTCGAACTTGATCTCCGGGAACACGCTCTGGTCGCTGATGCCAACGTTGTAGTTGCCCTTGCCGTCGAAGCTGTAGGGGCTGACGCCTTGAAAGTCCCTCGTTCGGGGAAACGCTAGATTCACGAGCCTGTCCAGGAACGAGTACATCACCTGATCATCGACAAAGAAAACAGCCACAACTGTAAGCTTGCGAAGAACTAAAGCTCACTTCTCTCTCGGGAATCATAGCGAAGGAAACACGAGAATTCGCAAAAGAAGAACACTCACCTCTCCCCGGAGAGTGACCGCGATTCCAACTGGGACGTCCTTCCTCAGCTTGAAGGCAGCCACGGCTTTCTTCGCACGGGTCACGATTGGTTTCTGTCCCGTGATGAGCGAGAGATCCTTTTGCATGGCCTCGAGGATCTTGGCATTTTGAGCACCTTCTCCATTGCCACAGTTCACGACGATCTTATTGAGCTTTGGTACCTGAAAGAAGAAAAAATCCTGTTTAGAGATGGAAGATCCCAAAAGAAGAACAAAGCAAAAAGAGTGAAGAACGAACAATGTAGAACGCTAAGAAAACACCACAAGGCTAAGAGTAAAAAACTTACTTGGAGCGTGTTTGTGTAGCTAAATTCTTCCATCATGGCCGGCACAACCTTGTCCAGGTACTGCGATTTCAATCTCTGGACTTGCTTTGCAGCTGGAGTGGACGATTCCGCGGCGGCCTCCTCCGCCACGGCTGTGGATGCTCGCACGGCGCGAAATCTGGATGCTAGGCGATGGCCCCGCGGCCCAATGCGAATGCTCACGCTTACCGCCTGGCCGCCGCGCAGGAATTCCTTTTCCGCGATGCCTCCGCCGCCGCCTCCGCCCGCCAAGGACGCCACACACACACCGTATGCCGCCATAGCCGCGCTTTCAAACCTATTCCATCGTCGCTTTGAGATAAACCCATTTGTCTTATTTTCTCCTGTACATATTCTTGTCCTAGTATTATTTCTATTGTCTCCTTGATTCTTTCGCACGGAATTCACGTCCGGCAGCACATTCTTTGAAGAAATCATTCAGGTGTTCTTCGAAGAATTCATGCCTTCTTGGCGCGGCCATTTGTGGAGGCCTTTCCTCCTCCGCGTCTCAGGAACTCGAGGATGTGAGTGTTGAATCGGTGTGCTTGCTCTATCTGGACAGCGTGCGACGCTTTCTTGAGGATAACCAGCTTGGATTTGTCACCCAGATGGCTGCAACAACAACAACAAAAGAGAGAAAAAAAATAAAAGAGCGATGAACTCTAGCTCTGAAAAACGAAAAGCTTGCTACCTTTTCACTTTGTGCGCAAGCGCAACAGGAAAAATCTGGTCGTGCTCTCCCCAAATTATCAAAGATTCCTTCCAAGAGAGAAAATGACACACAGCGTTGTCAGCCCGTCTCGATCGACAGCTAGCAAATGAAAGTTCACTTACCTGCGTGAGAACCGGCAGAGGCGTTGGATCCTCCTGCTGATCAACACCCAGCTGCAAGCCTTGGAGCAGCTCCACTTTCTCCCCCCGCTTCTCGATGTACAGCAGCTGGACACAAACAAGGACACATTAAATGGAGAAACAACCAACGAACAAACAAAAACCGCATGAACCAACGATGAACAAAGACAGACAGAGTGAGAGAAAAAAAAAGAAGCTAAACCATGGAAAGAGATCGCAGGCTACTCACATTGATGTAATCTTCAAGGACGCAGTCGAGGAGGCACGACGACGGCCTGTAGAAGGACAACTTAATGAGCTTGCGGAGCTCGTCGGGAGTGGTCGGCAGCAAAAAGTCGGACACGGCCTCCACTTTGGCCGTCTTGGTGATGGCGTCCACGTCCAGCGGAGTCATACAAACTCCGGAGCTCGCGATCACCACCCTCTCCACGGCCTGAGGAAAAAGATGAGCCATCCGGAAGGCCACAAACCCTCCGTAGCTCACACCGACAACGTCGAACCTGTGCACTCCCAGCGCCTCCATGACGTTCATCAAGCTCTTGGCCTGGTACACCTCCGACCTGTTGGGACTGGTGGTGGTCGACTCCCCGAAAAAGATCAAGTTTGGGATGTAGAGCTCCATCTCCGACCCCAGCTCCTTGAGTTGCGAGGACCACTGCCACATTGCATTGGCTCCAAAGCCGTGGATCAGCAGCACCGCGCGCTTGGAGCTGCCGCTGCTAGAGGATTTTTTCCGCTTGGGAACCCAGCACTGGATCACTGTGGTGTTGTCCGCTTGGATCGATCTTAATTCCAGACCCGCGGACACGAACTTGGAGTGAAGGCGCTTGCTTGCGAGCGTTGTGATGCTGAAGCAGCCACAACCCCCCATTGTTGAGGTCCAGGCCGGCGAGGTCCTCTAGCGCAAAGGAAAAAGATCACAAAATCATGAGCATGAATGGAAGAGAGAGAGAGCACAAAGCTTACCTTTCGAGCAGGAGCCTTAATAAAACTCCACACTGAGCGAGCTTCTTTGAGTGTATCCCAGTACCGGCACCTAACTTGTTAGAAACAGCTCTAAAGGAAGTACTGGAGGGAAGCAAAAAAATATATAGTGAGCGCTTTTGCAGGGTGAGCACAAAACCAGGCCTCGTGGCTCGGACCCCGAAAAGTATGAAAGGGAAATGGTTACTACTGTTGAGGTATCCAAAGTCTTACGAAAAAGATTGGACTTACTTCAGTGGAAAAAAAAGTGTCAGCGAGTGTGTTCTTATGGCGGAGATGATCATCTCCTCCAGGTTAGTTCTACGTAGTGATGTTTCAGACTAAAGTTTAGTCTCTAGCTGTTGCTGCTGGCGATGCCGCTGCTCTTCGAGGCTCTCTGGATGGGCTGCAGAGCAGTGTCAGTTCAGAACAAATAGAGAAAGAAAAGAACATTACCTGCGGGAGGAGCTCTTGCGGCCATTCTTTTCAGGAGAAGCTGAACGAGAATCCGCACGTCGTCCCCTTGGCGAAGACCACGATTCACTTGGACTGTGGCGAGGACTTCGATAACGAGCAGGACTTGGAGAAGAGTAGCGAGACCTTCCATGGCGATCGCTATCATACCTTCGAAAGCCAGAAACGATTAGCTCATGTATACATTTCTGAACCTGTGCCACCACTACCTCGAGGACCGATAACGTCTTCCTGGTGAGTACGATCTCGATCGAGCTGTAAGAAAGACAAAAACAAAACAACTTCAGTGCTACCTAGGAGAAGAAGAAACAAACAAAACGCTTACATCTAAACCGCCGAGGAGAATGTCTGTAATAGCCACCACCTCCATACCGGCTTCCCCAGCCACTGCTACTTTAGACACAGCTTAGACAAGGAAAAACATGATCAAATACTGACCTGACTCTGCTCTTCATTCGCATCTCCGATGGCTTCTTGCGGTTTTCTTCGGCGAAAACTACGGTGATTTCGCGACCGCCGAGAACTTGTCGATCCATATGATGCTTTGCCCGCGCTGCGTCCTCAGGGTTCATGTACTGCACGAAGCCAAATCCTCGAGGCTCACTGCAAAAGGGAAACGAAGAACAACGCGATGTCAGTACTAAGAAATGCTACACTATATAACGTCAAGCCGCCAAAGCAGGCAACACACAACGAGCTCCCACAAACAAATTAGCATACCTTATGTGATCTTTAAGTTTGAACTTTTTCTCTTCAAAGGTACAGGCAAAAACACTTCAAAGGGGCAAGCATCTTCTCTTCGATCGGCCCCAGGCTCTAGGAAAAACCATTCCTTCATTCCTTCATATACCATCTTCAAAAGACGGCTACGGTTCTTTCACAGGCTGCAAGCTTTTGTTTCTTTTTTTCGGTTTTGTTTCCTTGGGCTTGAAAACTACAAGGTTGTCAGGTCATTGATCATCATCTTCAAACTTCTTCCCCTGTGCCACATTCATGGCGTCCTATCAAGTTAAAAAAAAAAAACGAAAGAAACAATACACGTCCCACGAGCAAGAACTGCGATTCTTGCACTGTGCAGCAGCCATACCAATGGCATTGAGCGTAGAAAACAAAAGCAGATATAGAAACGACACAAGAAAGGCATCAAAACTCCCATCGGCTCAGCTCAACTCAGCTCAAATGATGAAAAAGAATGAACTACCTTCGTCACCATGAAAAAGAAAAAAAACTGGAAAGGATGACGCTCGTAGGCGGAGAAAAAAAGAACACCGCATTCCACTTACCCGGTGTAGAAATCCTTGGGCAAATACACGTCCTTGATGTGTCCAAACTGCTCAAAGGGGCCGCGAACGTCCTCTGGCCTGTGACAGTCACAAAGCTCTCAGAATTGGCCACCAAAGCAATGCCAAGAACACTACAAACCAAAAGCTAAAGCCAAGAAGCAAAAGCAAGACAGAGAAAGAAATTGAGAATGCACCTCGCCGATCGCGAGATATTCCTGACGAGCAGGCTGCAAGGCGGAGTCGGGACGCGGCGCCGATCGTCGTGACCTCCTCCTCGGCGCTTGCGACTGGCAGGCGGACTCCAGCTCCGGCTCTCGCTGCGGCTGCGGCTCCGGCTCCAGCTCTTCCTCGGGCTGTAGCTGCGACTCCGGCTCCGGCTCTTGCTCTTGCTCTTGCTCCTCGCCATCGCCTTCTTCCTCTTTCCTCCAATTCTGCCCTAACTTTGCAGTTTTAAAGTTTCTGTTAGTTACTAGACAATGCCGTACGGCGGAGCGTGGGCCGTACGGATGGGGCGAGGATCTGGATGGGTCACATGATGTTCTGTGGCACCTGAGTGGATCCAGAGATAAAAATCGGTGCGTGATAGCGAAAAAGTGGAGTTGCAATTCATTATTCACAAAGCCCCCACTTTTGCTTGCCTTGCCTTTTGGGTACTCTGCTCGTTGGAGCTCGCAAATCTCTAGCTGGAAAGCCTCTTTTGCCGATCGATTCCATCGCAGCCCACCTCGATTCTTGCCAAATTGCCGCCGCCCACAGCGGTTTAGTCCCTCCTCGACCCACATTGGATGTCTATGGGGGCCAGCAAGCAGGAAAGAGGCAATGCAGCGGTGTGGGCGATAGCGATGGCGATTCTCCTGGCCAGGGCTGCCATTGCGTCAGCGTACATGATCTACCGGGTGGGCGACGACGATGGATGGACCGCCAACGCCCCCGGGATCGATTACACCAAGTGGGCATCCCAGAAGGCCTTCCAAGTCGGGGACATGCTAGGTGAGTAGAGCTTTCCATCCTTGTAGACCTATGGTGTTCTTGGATATCGTTTGATCGATCTATGGTTGCATTCCTTCTCCAGTGTGATTGTTCCTGGGGTCGATGGTGGTTTTGGTCGATCTTTCGACCAAGTTTTGGTGTTCTTGAGAGCAATCTTCTCATTTATTCACGATTTCTTCTCGTTGTTCTTGGATCCAGTCTTCGCCTACTCTGGCGCGAATCACACGGTGCTCCAGACGAGCAGCCAGGACGCATTCGACGCTTGCAACACCGGGGTGGAGGACGCCAAGATCTGGTCCGCGGATGGCTCCTCCTCCTCCAACGTCATGCTCACCACCCCGGGAAGAACATACTTCCTCTGCACAGCAGACGACGGCGGCCACTGCCGCGCCGGGATGAAATTCGGGATCGATGTCACTGGCACCGCCCCCTCCGCTGGATCCGATGGCCTCGTCGCTCCAACCGGATCGCCCCCCGTCGATAGCTCCTGGAACTCACCAGGTCCCGTCACCGATTTCTCGCCGCCCTTCCTCACTCCGGATCCATCCAGTTCTTCCTCCACCGGCAGCGCAATTGCTCCGCCAGGATCAATCACCACTCCATCGGAGAACTCGAATTCGCCACTCTATTCTCGCGCCACCCCCACCAGGATGATTGGCGATGGATTTGAGGTGGCGATCCTTGTCTTTGCTGCCATGGTGCTGTGATCTTGTCAGATCCATCGTCTTAATCGATGCTGGATGCGAGTGACTCGGCTCGCTTGAGATCAATCTAAACACTTCCATCGAATCAATCGCTCGGCTCTTCATTGCTCTGCCTTGTTCTAAGCGATGGTGCCGCGATTCCGGCCGGATAAGCGCGCGGGGGCGCAAGGATTTGGATCCAAATCTTCCTTGTCTCGACTTGAGCTTGGAACGATCACGGAGGGCGGCTCTTTTCTGGACGCTGCGAAAATGCCATGCCCCTCGCTTCGTCAAATCCGCCGCGATCAAGCTTTAAGATCGATCCGTCTATCTCTCCTGTGTTGCATTCCATCTGAGATCGTGGCGCCATGGCTGCCCCAGTCCCCGGCCTCGAGCAAATCCTAGAAGAACCACAGACTTACGACCACGTCCGCCACAAGATCCATGGCCTTCGACTCTCCAACGCTCGCGCAATCACCAGCTCCTCCAGATCCAGCGCCACCGAGGACGTGGGAACCCTAATCCCCAAGCTCCCCGACTCGGTAGCGCTCCACTGCCTGGCTAGGGTTCCTCGATCCGCGCTGCCGCTGCTGCGCTGCGTGTGCCGGAGCTGGAATCGCGCGCTGTCCACCAACACCCGCGACATCGCGAGCGTGCGCCGCGAGATCGGCACCGCGGAGCCCTGGATATACTTCTCCTTCTCCCCGCGCGGCGATTGCATCCAGAGCCAGCGATCCAGCAACTACTTCACCGCCTTCGATCCGGGCAGCAACCAGTGGCACAGCGTGGGATGGCTGCCCGGCCTGGAGCGATTGGAGGTGCTCAAGGGCTATGGCTGCGTGGGACTGGGGGGGAAGCTCTACGTTCTTGGAGGAACGCTGTGCATCAAGGAGAGGGATTTTGGCGGCGGCTGCCAGAGGGATCTCCGCGTGAGGAGCGAGGTGCTGGCCTACGATTGCATCGGCGGGCGGTGGAAGCAGTGCGCGAGCATGCGCAAGGCGCGAGTGGATTTCGCGTGTAGCGTCTCCGGCGGGCGGGTTTTCGTGGCGGGCGGGCGCGGGCGGCTGGATCACGAGAACGCGGCGGCGATGGCGAGCGCGGAGGTGTACATCCCGGAGCTAGATCGATGGGAGGAGCTCCCAGACATGAGCATCACCAGGTAAAGCTTGAGGATTTTAGGTGGGAAAGTTTCTTCGAATTTTAGGGTTCTTACCTTTCCTCCAGGTACAAATGCGTTGGCGTGACGCTCAAGGGGAAATTCTTCGTCATCGGCGGCTACACGATCGAGACGCTCCATCGCAGCTCGGTGGAGATCTACGACCCCAGCGAGCGGCGGTGGGAGCGGCGGCCAGGGATGTGGGCGCTCGACATCCCGCCCTACGAGGTCGTGGAGCTCCAGGGCAAGCTCTACCGATCCGGCGACCAGCTCAATCACTGGCGAGGCTCGATCGATGTGTACGACGAGCGGCTCAAGATGTGGAAAACGATCCGGGGCTCCAACCGGCGGATCGGGGAGGATCTCCAGTGCACGGTGCGGCGCTATGTGACCATGGCGGGGATTGATAGCTATCTCCTCTTCTTTGGTGGGCATTGCCGGGTTGGGGATCGCAGCGGAGATCACAGGCCCTTTTGCCTCGAGACAGTGGATGCATTCCAGGCGCCGATTGGGCGGTGGTGTGGTCTCGATCCATTCCGGAGTAGCTGCCGGGAGCTCTGTAGCTCCTGCTGCGTCGTCACCGCTTGAGAAAGAGCTAGATCTTCTCTCCTGATCTGGTATGTTGAGATTATTTTTTTCTCCCTTTCTTTCTTTGTTGTAGTGTACAGTATTCCTTTTCTAGTTCTTTGTTGTATATATAGCTGTTTTGCTTCCTTTTATTGTTAAGACATTTATTTGCTTAACTGTTTAAAACAGAGTTTTCATCTATTTGAGTTTGCAGTGCTTGGGAACTCTCCACTCAACCTTCTCGCTCGCGAGCTTGTACCTTTTCCAATCTTCGCGTAGCAACGTCAGGTCCTGAAGCTTCTTCTGGAGGCCTACACAGCAATTGGCATGCACGGTGCTCACCTTGTCAAAGTTCTTCACAGGAGCGCAGAAGCCTTCGAAGTATTGAGTTGGAAGGAATCGGACTTTGAGGCCCAGATCTTGGAAGGTTTTCGTGCCTTTGATCGCCTTGAACACGTCCTGATCGTGCCTTCCAGGGAATGTCTCGTGCGAGTCGTACCAGAATTTGTACAGCCGGATGGTCCGCTGGTTGGAGCGAGCGTGGAAGAAGCCTGTGTTGGGGGCATTGTTCATGTCACTCGCATTCCCGAAGAAGTAGTCGCAGGATAGCTCCAGATCTGCATCAGGCGTGAAATGCTGGAACGGATCTCGGAACCACATCACGTCTCCATCCTGAATGTAATGGATCAACTTAGAGTCGGCGGTTTGAATTCGAATGACCCACCGTGAAGATGAAGCTGAACCCCATCCGCAAGACGATTCCCATGAGCATGATCTTCTCCCTGGTCATCTTGAGGTAGTCTTTGCTCATGAACTGCTTCTCCTGCGCTGAGAAATCGACACCTTTGCTCGTCATCTGGAAGCAGTGGCCGTGGATCGCCAGGCAGCGCTTGTGCGAAGGCTCATCCATGGCGATTATTACTACGTGCTGCAAGAGCCAGCTGATCCCGTTTCCGTCGCGGAAACTCTCCAGGAAATGATCCAGCATGCTCCCACTGGAGGCCCAAGCCTGATTCAGCGTGGTGAGAATGATCCTCTTCTCGTTGGACAAGCTTGCAGCCTTCAGGATCTTGTCAAACGCTTCAAGCTCCTCGACAGTCTGAACGAAACGATGTCCAAGTCAGTTCAGATAAAATTCGATATAACAGCTGAACTTACAAACGAAGTGGTCGCTGCAATTGCTGCCAAGGAGCCACGATCAACAGCAAGATCGATGTCAAGATCAAGATGGCTAGAACAATGCATTTGCTGCAATGAACTCCACAAGAAGACGAATGCAACTAAGAGACCAACCAAGCATACAATTGAAATCGGATACTTTGCTAAGGCGCCCATAGCTAAAGCGTTCAGTTTCATTTCTGTACTTGCTGCCATGATCATGCTCTCAGCGTCAAACGTGAACCTTCAACCTTACTCGATCGAGCAAAGTCAAACCATCTCACCAGATTATTGCAAGTTATTCGTAGTTCTGCGGACACATGACTTATCCAGAATATATGACGAGTTCAAACTTGCTAATCAGATCCGATTCATCAGTTGGTGAGCCGCTGAAGAGCGATGTCCGAGCTTCGCCTGAGGCAGCGAGGAAATCTCCAGCACCTCCGACAATAGGAATTCTGCCGGTGGATGTCTGTCCGAGAAGGCTGATCGACCCGTCAATCCTTGAAGCGGTTGTGCCATTGAACAACAAACTGGAGATAAGCAACGGCGCCACTCCTGGAACGCAGCTTGCTATTTTATTGCCACGGTGTTGTGGCCAACACAACTGGAAGGCCAATCACTGCTGTGCTTTACTTGGCAGTCCAGTTCCTCTGGTTCTGCAATAGTCATCGACAACATGTGCACCACCAAACTATGACGATCCCAGTTCGGCAGAAATCGCGGGACTCTCATCACAGTTGGCTACATTAGCATAAGAAAGAAAAAGAGAGATTAACCATTAGTATCCAACCATATCCTAAATATACAAGTTTGCTTAAGTAATGACCTTTTCTTTTTGCAAAATTCACATTATCAATTGTCTATCGTCGGTATTGGACCCTCGAAGGATACAGTATTGCCTCCACGTTATTTGATGAATACGCTCGCTTTTTATTTTCAAAGTTCATCCTTAGTTTCTAAAGTCATGAGGGCAATTCGAATACTGATCAAGAGTGTTAAAGGATGGACTCTTTACTGACTTCCAGGGAGCTTGGACAGGCATCAGGAGAGGAGCTCCTTAGAGTAGCCAAACGGTCTCAGTAACATAACGTTTCAATACTCGCATTTAACTTTTGAAAACACTTGGATCCACACGCTTGTGGATGTGAAGATACAGAAGATCAAACTAAAGATCAGACAAAGCTTTAAAACTTCTCAGTACATGGCATTGGGTGCCTTGAAACTCATGCTCCCAGGGAGAGAATCTGTGCCCATATTGCGCTTGGATCCAACACTTGCATGAACAATTCCTCCATTTTCTTCTATTTTCTTATAGACGTCAGAGTTTCCTGGGTTTCGTATGTCTTCAACAGCGGTTACGAAACTCCGAGAAGATCTACGTGCAACACAAAAGTTAATCAGTCAAGCATGAAATTCTAACCTTATATTACCTTTGAAGAAACAGTTTTTTCCATCCTTTGTAACCCGCGTCTCGCAAGTTCTTCTCCGTGACTGCGCGCTGCGACTCGGTTCGCCGCTGGGACATCAAATACACTGTCCAGTGCGCGTCGATGAGCTTCCAGTAGAGTGTTCTCATTGACACGATCGCTGTGGCCTTGCCTTGGGCGACCCAGATGTTAAAGTCTGTTTGATTGAACAAGGAAGCTCTACAAACGCGAAACGACAAGCTTGTGAAGAAGACTAGCTTAAAGCGTACCCATAGTTGTGCTTGGCGAAGTAAGCAGCGTTGGAGAGCAAAGTCTCGTCCACCTCGAAAACCCAGCTATCGCGGCCATGCCCTCGAACACTTATGCTTTGGGAGAATCTGGTGGCCTGGTAAGCCACAAAACTCATGTCCTCGAAGTATCGAGGACCAGTTGTATAGCGACGAACATAGGCCACGCATTCGACTGGAAGAGTCCAGTCTAGGATGTTTCCAGCCTCGGCATTGAGATGGAAACTTTGGCAGTAGTCATGGACACTCTCGCCCGGGAGTCTGGGAGGGAGATCAAAGCAGTGGGAGAAGGTCGATGCTAGTATCATAAACAAGGACGAGAAGCACAATGGATTCTTCGACTTGATCATCTTGCAATCAGCAGGAAGAACAGGAGGATGGAATGCAGCAAGATGATGGACAGACGTGTTGCATATATTTATATGTCTTCAAGCTTTTGTCTCATCATTTCAAGTCTCAAAGCTGCAATTCGTTGTGTTGCCAGCTCTGTATATTTGGACTGTAAACAGGAGAGGCGTGCTTGCTACGTAAAGTAAAAGAGGAATGAATTTTTGTCTTTGCAGAGAAATTTTCCAGGTGTTTTGCCAGAAAATATTTTAGAGAATATATACTCAGGAAAACATACGGGTCGCTATATCTTTGCGTAGACAATACGCCCACCGTGTATATGCAGCCTTGTAGTGGTTTCCAAACAACTTTGCCAGCTTACTATTGCGCACTTGCGAAAATGACCCAAGAAGTGTCATAACATTATATAAGTGTGTGTGTAGCCACTGAAAATTATCCAAACTTTTGCCTTGAATTCTGTGTGCTTGCATACTAACTTCTTTGCAACATGGTTGTTTCGATTATCTTGTGTTCTTTGCTATTTTCTGCAGTGAGCTCTTTGAATTCCCAGTGCTTTGAGCCTCCTCCCAGGCTCCCGGGCCAGAAGGTCGAGGAATACTGCGAGAGTTTTCAGATCAATGCCGAGGCTGGGAACATCCGGGAGTGGACGCTTCCCATTGAATGCGTGGGTTTCGTTCGTCGTTACACAACTGGTCCTCGATACTTGCAGGACTTGAGTTTCATGGCGGATCAAGCTACGAAGCATGCCCAAAGCATCAAAGTTCGTGACGATGGCCGGGACAGCTGGGTGTTTGATGTGGACGAGACTTTGCTATCCAATGTTGCTTACTTTGCCAAACACAACTACGGGTACGTGTATTCATTTATAGAGATTATAGCTTTTTGATTGGATCTATTCGACTAGAGCTTCCAAGTTCAACCAGACCGACTTTAGCATCTGGATAGAAAAAGGCAAGGCCACAGCGATCGTGCCAATGAGAACACTCTATCATAAGCTCATCAAAGCAAAGTGGACTGTTTACTTGATGTCTCAGCAGCGAAATGAGTCGCAGCGTGCAATCACCGAGAAGAACTTGCGAGATGTGGGCTACAGCAGATGGAAGAAACTATTTCTAAGGTGAGGTTTATACAACTTTGCACCTGCCTTACAAAAATCATTAATCAGTGCACCTCGGAGGCTAAACGTGGTTGAAGACATAAACACAGCAGGAAACACTAAATGGTATGGAGAAATTAAATCTTCTGGTGGACGGATTCAAGCTACAGTTGGAGACAACTGGGATACGGACTTTGATCCAAATCCTTTCCCTGGAAGCATGGCGTTTAAATCACCCAATGCCATGTACAACATGGCCTAGATCATGTTAAACGAGAAATATTTACTGTTACTTGCAAGTGTCAATGGGCACTGAATTTCAAAAGCTTGAAACTGAAGAAGAATGTGAAAGTCGAGTATTGCAGTGCACAATCCGGCCTCTTATACCATTGTTGAAGAAATGGAGATGGGTAGCTTTGGTGACAACAAGGAATTGTTTCTTAGTCATGCCAAAGCAGCTCCTGGGTGATAAATGCGCTGATTAACGAAGAATGATGACAAAGAAATTTTGAAAATTTCCATGGGTTCATGGCATTAAATCGTGGCCACGGGATTCAGGGTAACGAAGAACTTGCTGCTAGTCTGGAAAGTGCCGCCAGAGTTCCCAGGTAGGGCGAGCATGTTCCCGCCCAGAACGGGCCCGCGAACAGCCACATTCTCGCAGAGGACCTGCTCATCTGACGGCTCCCAACCGCCAGATCGAGTTAACAGGCGAGCACAGCCCGTTAAGGTCAAAGTATCGTGGTTTCCAAGACAAGCTAAAGTTCTAAACCGTGGCACACTTGAGGATCTCGTCGCGTCGTCAATTTCAACCAGCTGAAACTGGGGAAACTCGTCAAGAAGGGAGCTATGTATGGACGTGTGTACTCGGCTAAGTGGCTTGGATGTAAGTTTGCAGTGAAGATCTTTAAGCAGTTTGATCCAAGCTTTCACAGGGATGAAAGCAGATGAAAGGACTGGCAACTATCAAGCATCCCAACATAAATCGAATGGTAGGATTCAGCGAGACTCCGAAGTGCACACATCGTGATGGAATGCACATGAACTTCGAAACTTTCATGCACCAGCACGGGCAGAGCTTGACTCCAAAGGATCAGATCTACTCCATGCTACAGATGGAATGAAATTCTTGCACGCTAAAGAAGTGTTTCATCGGGATCTCAAGCCCAAGAACATTCAGGTAGAGCTGCATCATGATCGTCGACATGGAGATCTAGATGGCTCGCGAGCGATCGTCAAAATATCTGGTGAGAACAGATTTTGCGACGGGAAGAAAAAATCTGACGGCTCGAGCTGGAACTCTCGGCTACATGGCTCGAGAAGTTAATGACACCGGCTCCACAGGCTACTCGAGAAAAGCCGACGTTTACTGCTTTGGCATGGTTTGCTACCGTGTTTTTACAGGAAGCGCTGGTTATGATGCAAATCTCACATACATGCTGCACAAGCGACCTGAGTTCCCTCTAGAGTGCTCAATCTCGCTGAGAAATCTCATACAGAAGTGCTGGAGTCAACGGCCGGCCTTGCGTTCATCGTTTGATGACATTTGCAGTACCCTCGTTGACTTGATGATTCAAGTTTCAGGAGTGCAGCAGCTCGGATCAATCACAGCGTTTACAGCACGCCTGTCTCAAGGTTTCTAAATCCTCCAAGTAGTTTGGAATAAGCACTTCATCACTGTGTTCTTCTTGTATATTATACTTAAAGATTTTTTGTTAATATAGTTTTGACTTTTTCGTTTATTAAATATTGTGATTAAAGTCATTCAGATGACAATAACCGACACCCACAAAGAAAGAGCGTGGAGATGGTTGCAGCCACCACCACCACCAACAATAACAACAAATGGCATGCCACAATTGCAGTGTACCCCTGTTGCATTCATGTCACCTTGATGAGCACCCATAATGCACAAAAGTTTGAAAATGAGCTCCACCGAGAGCTTTGGGAAGCCAACCAAGTTTGCAAGAAAAATAGAAAAGTCTGGCTAGGAGATGTTTGCCTTGGGTCACTCCTGATCCTCACTCCCAATGGACATTGTCTCATCCTCATCTGGAGAACTGGCACCTCGGTCATCTGTCACAACTTGGAAACCGGCAAAAGAGAGCCTCAAATTGATCCAGCAGATATCACCAACACATTAGTTGATATGTTCTTCTCAAACTTTTGGGCCACTATCTGGTACTGGGCTGCAGAAATCTTATGCAAGCTGAGTGGTTTCTCCAAGGGAAAGATTCTAATGAACTGGAAACAAGCTCTCTTTGGACAGGGACTTGAGGGAGAGGAATGGAAGAGTCACCACACTGTTTATGTGTGGAATTTGCTAAGGAGGACCATTTTAACCGAGATATGGTGGCTTTACAATTGCTCTTTAGTGGAAGATACCAGCAAAGTGAGCGCAAGATACCTTGTCCAGCAGATCTGGCTGAGCTTGAGGCTCTATATACTGCTTGAGTGGAGCCAAGTCATCAAGGAAAAAGATGAAAAGCTGGCTGAAACTTTCAAAAAGAGGTGGCTTACCAATGGGTTTGCCAGAATCATGACAAGAAACTGGGTGCTGTGGATATGGGAGGAGCCACTCTTGATTTCCATGCTCAACTTTTGAGAGTGGAGATCTCAGCTTATTCAATAGATCAATCAATTGAGCTACATGGATAAAGAAACTTTTTTGAGTCATCTTCAAAGAATGTAAAGAAAGAAGAATGGAAACTAGTTCCTTTTCTTCAGACTTTGGAGACATCAAGGATGTGAACAGCATTACCAATGAGTAGCTTGTGTCGACCAGAGTGTAGAAACCTTTTCCCATTTCTCCGGACACTGCTTAGGTGCTTGCATGGATCGATGCCAAAAATGAGCCTTTGAGTCGTGTCTGATTCCAAATGGACCTTCTGGAATGCAATGAGTTGCTTGAGAGGAGCTCCCTCCACTGGTGGTGGAGCTGAGAAGATTAGCACTGAGTGGCTTCCAGACCTGGGACCGAGATTGCTTACTTCCACGCTCACTTGGAACAAAATGCTGTTGCAAGTTTCCAGATCATCCGCTGGTAAATGAAAGCAACCAAATTCAGCTTCACTCCTATTTACTGTTGGACAGTCTCTGGAGTTTCTTGTGTTGCTCTTGAAGAAGGAAAGCCTCGTTGGTGCCAAAAGAAACTTGTACAAGTAAGTGGAGTAAGACAATCCATCACCAAAGTTATAGAGTGGTGTCCCTGTGTAGAATCGATAACTTCTCCCTGGATATCCTGACGGTGGATTGGGCCTCATCCGCATATCCAACATGGAAACATTTGTAAATTCCTCATGGTACCAAGTATTTGGCAAGCGACCACCTAGTTTTAGATTCAATCCTTATAAATTCTAAGCTTGCAAGAAGGAAAGAAAGTGAAGGAATACCTGGATTGTAAGCTCCAAAAACAACATGAGCAAGAGCAGCACCTCCAGACTGACCAGGATACCCGATCCAAATAACACTTGAGATTCGTGAGTTGTCTTTGAAAGTTGAGATATCAACAGGCCCCGCAGACATGATCACAAGAACAATAGGACAAGTGACAGCATTTGCAATGTTGGAGACAAGTTGAGACTGCATTCCTGGAAGAAGCAAACTGGTTCTATCGAAGGTCTCTCTCTCCTGGGACTGGTCAAGGCCAACCACCAAAACCACAGCATCTGCCTTGGTTGCCACCTCAACCGCTGATGCTACTAGATCACCTTCACTGCATGCTACATCTCTGCAACCTGGTGAGTAAAGGATGTTATTGTTGTAGATTTGCATGCCTTGCAAAGGTGAGACGTACTTGCATGGAATTCCTACAAAAAGAATTATTACCATAAGAAAATCTAGAGAGTTTTGAAGAAGTTAATCTTTCACCTTCATAGTTTCCAAGCATCGTATAAGTTGCATTTGCATTTGGTCCTATGAGAGCCACGGTTTTCAAGGCTGTGGATAAAGGTAGGGAGCCATCATTTTTGAGGAGGACAACTCCTTGGAGAGCGGCATCTAGAGCAAGCTGCTGGTGATCATTACTGCAGATATCAGTTGCTCCTAGCGATGAATATGGTCGAGTGTTTAGATCACCATCAAACAATCCAAGACGCATTCTGGTTCTCATGAGATTGGAGATTGCATGGTCAAGGTCAGCCTCAGTGACCTTCCCAGCTTGAAGTGCTGACTTTGCATGCTTGCCAAGAAAAGTTCCACAATTAAGATCAAGGCCTGCAAGTCACTATATAAGAACTTGATGATCTTCCCAATTATTTATCAAACTTTTACCTGCGAGGATGGAATCAGCAACTGCATCTT